TATTTCGTACAAAACTTTTTTCTGTATTTTTTGTGACGATACCGTTAATATTTATTTATTAAAACCAATGGTACATTAAAGTATGATACTCGAGGAATGTTGTATAAAATTTAACGAAGAAATATTAAAGAGTAAAAAGCCCTAACATCGATTGCACCGAAGCAATAATATGTTACGAGTACCCTTGACAAATAAAAAAGTTTTCACACAAGAACTTGACTCGGATCGTTCAATTTGTATGGCAGCTATAAGCCATAGTTCGATATCGGCAGTTCCAACAAATGAGCCGCTTCTTGGAGAGTAAAGGACATGAACAATAATGCATGCTAAATTTCGTGAATATATGTCGTGAAATAAAAAAGTTTTCCATGCAAGAACTGGGTTCTGATCGTTCAATTTGTAAAGCAGCTATAAGCCATAGTTCGATATCGGCAGTTCCAACAAATGAGCAGCTTCTTGGAGAAAAAAGGACATGAACAAAATTTCAGATCGATGTTTTAAAAACTGAGGGACTAGTTCGGGTATATACTGACAGACGGACATGGCTAAATCGACTCAGCTCAACATGCTGATCATTTATATATGTACATACAAATTTTAAAGCGCGCCGACATTTCCTTCTGGGTGTAGCAAACTTAATAAGCCCTGTTCAGAGAATAAAAAGCTTGTGTCTAGTCATAACTGGGGTTAAAAACCTAATGTAAAAACTTAAAATTGGTTTCAAGGTTCTGAAGTTAAAATCTCTTGCTAAGAAGGCCACTATGTCGCAGTGCCAGTGGTGCATTCAAGGTCGCGTCAAAGGCAGAGTTTTGAAAAAAATATTGGTTTTTATTTCTATATGAAAGTTTAAGATATAATTATTGAAATAAAAAAGTTTATGCAAATATCAATGTGCATTTGTAATCCATATAATTATCCAACCAACAATCAGTTCATATGACTGAGTGTACATATGTATGTATATATGGATGTAAGAGACTTTCAGAGCTGCTAGGGCCTAACTAAGCCGGAGATGGAGTTTATGATAAACTTTTATAACATAAATATGCTCGGCGGTAGGACTACTGAGGAATCGCAGGAATTGTTGTAATTCTGGCACTACTTGTCTATAATCATTAAAAATACGTCTATGTTTGATGTATATTCAGCAGCTGTTAGTTGGCGATATAGAAAAAAATATTAAAAAAACAAGTCTGCTTGAAATTTTGTGTTTTTAAATGGAATAATGGCAACGAAATCGTTAAAATTGTTGTAGAAGTGTTTTGGGAACTCTACTTTATCACAAACACAAGTAATTGAGTGGCATAAAGCATTCAGTAAAGGTCGTGAAGTCATCGAAAACTTACCTCATGTAAGTCATTCACCTACCTCTGTTAATGACGAGAATAACAAAAAATACAGAGGAACAGTGCTTAAAATTGTTGTGTCGACATCACAGAGATAGCAAAAGATCTCAACATATCTTCTGGATCGACTCAACCATTTTGCTTAAAGTTTTGGATGTGAAGCGTGACTCCTACCAAAAGACCCAAATGCGCCGTCACATCTGGCATGATTGTGACTGACTTTATAATATTAATAGTATAATTCGCTCAGCCACCGTTTTGCCACTTTTAGAATTTTTTCTCTTTTCGAAACAGAAAAATCTGTTCCGGGGAGGTTAGTTTAGGTTAAGTGGTCGATCCAAACAGACATCTCACTTGGACAGCTTAGAACGTCGGTCGGTTGTGGTACCTAAAAAAAAAGGTTATACAATAGGTCATAGGCCTATCACAAATTTGTTGAGACGGGTAATGTCAGTTTCGGCTCTGTCTTCTGGTTCGCCGAAGGTAAGACTACCAAGATGTTTCAGCCTCAGTCGTGCAAATGCTGGACAATGGAGAAGAAAGTGCCTAGATGTTTCCAACACATAAATGCCTATTGGACAGTGTAAGGACCCCTACGAATGCGGACCCCTGAACTTTGCTAAGGGCAATTAGGGACGCTTTCGGTAATGCAAACTGCGCAGGATGCAACCAGTTCGACAAAGCGAAAATGGCATCTATGCCAAAACTTGCCTCAAAAAATTACATCAAATCCAGTAAGTGATTTATGTGAATTATAATTTTAGTACTATTCTTTAATTAGATTTTTTTTTTATATGATATACAATAGTAGAAAAAGATTGCGCAGTTTGCACTGCTGATTTTATGCTGGCTGATGCCTTTGCTTGAAACTGATAAAAACTGCCCATTTTAAAATTTATATTTTCAAAAATAAAAATATGCGAGTAGCTATAATGATCGATTTCTATTAGAAAGGTAAAAACAGAGAATGAATCGTGTAAAAAAAAAATTTATTAATTGCGAACAGCTTTAAGTCAAACGGATTATTCCAAAAGTAATAGCTTTAGTGTACTTGACGCAATCTTTTTCTTCTATATCCTATATAATTAAAAAAATCCCCAAATATAATAAAACAACAATAATAAAACTATATTGAACATAAATAAATTACAATAACATTTTAGCTAGCAGTTGGTTTTGGTGTAATTTTTTGTGCAACTACTTTTCAAATGCTTTAAAGCTATTCGCAAATAATAATTTTCTTTTTTTACACGATACGTTCTCTTTTTGTACGTTTCTAATAAAAATCGATAATTTTTGCTATCTCACTTGTCAGTTAGAGTATTAATAAAAAATATTTCGCACAATTTTATGTTTGAAAATGCAAATTTTAGCAACTTTTAGCAGTTTCATGCAGGGGCATCAGCCAGTATGAATAAGCAGTGTTCACTATAATCCTAGTTCAGTAGAACTCCTGCTTTCTACTCTAGACTAAAAGTCGCATTCGCACAGGAGCTAGTCGTCGACCAGCGCTTGCTAAACGCACTCGAGGTCCATTAGTCCAGTGCTAGAACACAAGAGGTGAATGGAGATCCAACTCGATCGATGTAAGCGGGACAAGGGCGCCCCTCTGGCTAGCTTATCGGCTTTGCAGTTGATTGTGATACCGCTATAACCAGGCACCTAAACAACTAATATTGCCGCTCTGCTGTCTTAGTGAATGCACACCACCCTGAAAGAGTAGCAATATTATTTAAAAGAATAAAGGTTGAAGACGTGAACTTCCGAAAGAGGAGAGAAGCTCTTTTGGGATCTTATATCTCCTAGTAAATAAAAAAATTTTAGTTTCACTTGGGTTGACGGCTAAGCCGCTGCTATTCGCCCAGTTGAGTACCACGTTGAGGTACCCTTCGGTTAGCTTATAGACGGTATTTAGAAATTTTGTTTTAATACCCGCTTCGGGAAACACGACTCATAACCTTTTCGCGTCGTAAATAAACAGCTACCAAACGCACACTAATAACTTAATTAACATATGGAGATAAAATTTCGCACGAACATAAAAAAGGTTGTACCAACCAAATGAAAACTGTTTTAACAATTCGGTTTGCGTAGCTTAAATGGACCAGTCCAAGTCAGATTTGATCTCAAGTGTAGGTATCTAAAAAAAAATCAAAAACTTCGACTGTCAGATTAAATGTCAGAATACCGTTTTTGGAGTGAGTTGTGTAATAAATAAATAATAAAACACGTTTCACAACGAACCGACTTAAACGACGTTATGGTACAGCTGGCACCCTGCAGGGTTGCAAATAATGCACTACAAAAATAATTGAATTACAATTTTTTTTTACTTTGCAATACCGTATTAAAAAATCAAAAAAAATGTAATCCCCATAACCGGATTAAAAATTAAAAATTCATTTTCGAACTATCGAATTGAAAAATAAAAAAGACAAATTTTAGTCTTAAGCATATAATTAAGAATTAACTAAATAATTTTTTTATAATTAAAAATTTTTCGAGTCCATTCAAATTCAAAAATAATATTTTCATAATTAAAATTTAGTTTGTAACCCCAACATCGGGATTAAAAAATAAAAATTTAATTTTTAATCAAAAATTTTTTAATCAACAAATTCGCAACCCTGACCAACTGTAACTATTTATAGTAGCACACGTGATAATCCAGAAAAGCAGGAATGAATTTTAAGTTTTGTACGATACAAAAATTATTTCTGAAAATGTGTCAAGCAACAATTACTTGATCATGGAAAGCGCATTAATAGTGGATCGTGGAATGTAAATGGCGTTCCTACTGGTATCAAGTATTCGTAACGGATTTACATATATCCTCCCTAGGGCAACAGCATAGTTACATAGTGGTAAACTACCTTTTATTTAAAATGAACCATATGCCCACGCTTTACGCTTTTCTCACAGTTAGTTTTTTTAAAGTTACAATCACAATTTAATCAAGACGTCATGTCGTAAAAAATGTGTCATACTAGTATGGCATTGCTTTAAATAGTACATTTATAATAATATTATTGCAAAAAAGTAATGTTTTATTTTTAGTCAATTGCACCTACCTTGATTGTATTTGTCCTTTAAAACGTAGTTGTGTATAACTAAGTTTTGTCCACATGTTAGAAAGCAGACCAACAAGGTTATAATGAAAAAATGCAACGAAAAATAGTAAAAGTATATTTAATTTTACGAAACTATTAAGACCATGTACAGCATACAAACCTGAGTAATATATAATGTGTTTGGCAAAATGTTTAATATATGTTTAATATACGAAATTCTAACTAAATGGAGAGTTTTTGGAAACTGATGTGGTACCGCTGTTATTAACTACTTTAAACAAAATTCTCTTTTGATAATTCTTATATCGCATTTATTTGAACACAGAAATCTCAATTGGTTGGAAGGAAAAACCCCGCCGTAAACTAATTTTCTGATATGTATCAATTGATACAAAACCAACAATTTACACAATCTTGCTATAAATCTACTGGCTCTAGCAATCATGAACAAGCATTTGTAGCTTAAATTTTGTAATACAAGCGGCTTAAATATTGAAAACAAAAAGTAAAGACACCAACACAAAGCGAAACAAATATACATGTACGTATGTATATGTTTATTTTATAAATTAAAAATGAAACATAGATTTATAGTAGATATTTATTCATTTAATAAGTGCATTAGATATTGACTTTTGATACTTATAGTATTGCTTATTTTTTAAATAATAGAAATACATAAAGTATTGCATTAACTTTAAGTAAGCAAAGTGAAAGCATACATATATAAAACAATTTTGTATATATAAACAGAATTAATAAAAAAAAGTTTGCTAAAAAGAATAAAACAAAAAATGTGTAATAATAATAGCTAGCAAACATTTGTTCTCTTCGATTCACCATTTCTCTGCTTGCTATCTTTCCACGTTACTCTCTTGTCAAAAAAGTTACATGTAAAAGCAACAACAAAGTTATCGAGTTGAATTCGTACAAGAAAGTATGTGGATACCTCATTAAAGTGGCACAACCATTTTGTTTCCCATATTTTAGATCAATTTTACTATTGTGAATAACTCAAATGAAAAATTATTGGTAAAAATGAAATTGGAAATGGAATACTTCTTGTATTTTATAAATTGACGGCTTTAAATCTATTAAATTATTTATAGGAAACCAAATTACGATGTTACTAAAACGGTTTTTGCCGCGAAAAGCAGAATTTCTCCACCAGGAAAAAAATTTAACCAATTGCACATGCGTCAGAAGACATGTCAGCGCAGGGTTGCACCGCAAGTACTGCGCATTTGTTTGGTCATCTGGCATAGTTTGCTCGATTCGGTACTCACCAACGCTTGGTAAATCGAAGATAGCTGTTGTAAAAGATCACGATGGTACTAATACGGTTGAACTAATATTTTTAAAATATTTATACATTTTTTTTAGGTAAATATCTCTGATATTTTTTTTCTTTTTCATAACCATATGTACATGAATTTTTGTAAAGGTATACAGAAGTATGTACTTGCTAATTCTGGCTTGTTAAATTGGAATTGTCAAAACTTAAGTCAAAAACGTCATCGTTATATGTAATCTATGTACATTTGTACCTGCGTTCATATTTGAGAGTGTTGTGTTTAGACAATACTCTTTTTATTTGCACATACATACATAATGGATGCTAATACCAATGGATATCCACCCACTCAACAAGGTGGTATATACATACATACAGGAAATCGGAAAAACTATCTACTGGGTAATTTATTGATATATAATAGGTATATACAGTAAAACCAATCAATATGCTTTTATATTTTTATACTCTTGCAACATGTTGCTACAAGTTATAATAGTTCTGTTCACCTAACCGTTGTTTGTATCACCTAAAACTATTAGAGATAGATATGGGGTTCTATATAAATAAATGATCAAGATGAAGAGACGAGTTGAAATCCGGGTGACTGCCTGTCCGTCCGTCTGTGCAAGCTGTATCTTGAGTAAAAATTGAGATATCTTGAATCGGATCAATAATTCCCTTAGTCCCCATACACGTAATAGAAAAATTTTCAACTTCCGAACTGACTTTTTACCGCAAATATCGGCCAATATGTTCTTCTAATAACAATGTATCTTTGTGCACAAAATGGATAAACTCGAGTGGAATCTTGCCCTAGACGCCATATAACTAATATCAGGATTTTAAAACTTGCGATTGACTTTATCCCGCGTATATTGGTGATGGTATATGAGGTACCTTAATTAAACTCAGAGATTATCTTTTTCTGTTTATATTATATGATACACACAAAAATAGATAAGCATCAATACTACACCTATCTCTCATATATAAGATTTTCAAACTTACGGTTGGCATTATACCGTACATATAAAAACTTCCGTATTCTAACAAAGCTTATGCTGAATAGGTCGGCCAGTGTATGAGTTATGTATTTATAAAATTTCTTAAAATATGTTCTTGAATATGCTGACCACCTGTACGTAAATGACACGTACAGTACGTAAATTTGGAGCCATGTACCGTGTACCGAAGCTTTAGCGAAAATCACGAAAATGTACGTAAATTGAACGGATTGATGTACGTAATTTGCGTTAAAACAACAAAAAATTGCTATACAATTGTGTCCCACCCGTGACGATGGAATGAATACCCCTAATGCAAATTAAATATATTCACCCAGCTTTAACTATGTTAAACTCGCCATTATGGCAACGCCGTTTGTGGAATGCTTTTATTGTATTTGTTCGTGTTAAAGAGAAATTACATATGTTAAAGCTCTTCTTATTTACATTTATTCATGTATTTTCTACCAACAATTTGTGGAACTTATGCTGACAGGTGATATTGTGGAAGCGACGCTATTGTGTGTGTACGTTGTATTATTTTTTTTAAATGTCGCGAAAACGTGGAGTAAATATATTTAACGAAAAATTGCGCGAAGAATTTTCGTTTATTAAGAAAGCGAAGACCGAAAGTGATGTCCTTTGCGAAGTGTGCAACACGGGTTTTAGTATTATGCATAGTGGTCGCAGAGACATTGAGTCGCATATTAAATCAAAAAATCACCAAAATGCATTGCACGCTGCCACGTCCAGCCACACACTCAATAGATATTTAAAAAGTTCTACTTTGACCGGAACAGATGCCCATATCGCGGCGTGTGAAGGCGTTTGGGCATTTCATGTGATAAGTTCTAATCACAGTTTTCGCTCGGCCGAAAATGCAATGTCCAAATTTTCTTGTGCGCGAACGAAATGCGAAGCCATCGCAACCGGAGTGTTCGCACCGTTCGTATTGCAAGAGCTCCAGAAAGACTTAAATGACTGACTGCCATTTCTTCACTATATTGACGGACGCCTCTAATCATGGCAGCACAAAAATGTTTCCGATATTAGTTCGCTTCTTTTCGGAAAAGGATGGCGTCAAAGTGAAAATTATAGACTTGGTAGATGCACATGGAGAAAGTTCCGAAATAATTGTAAATTTGCTGAATAGCGCTATGAACAAATTGAGCATAAATAAGAAACTAGTTGCGTTTTGTGGAGATAACGCGGCGTGTAATTTTGGCAACGTTAATCGAACCGGCACAAATAATGTGTTCTACAAACTGAAGCAGCTTTATCCTGGATTGATTGGAGTTGGATGTGCAGCGCATATTGTTCACAATACTTTAAAAAAAGCTTGCGACAAAATGCTTTTTGATGTGGAGATGATTGTAGTCAAAATTTATTCACATTTCTATTTGTTCACCGTGCGTGTCGCAAAATTGAAAAAAATTTGTGAATCCGTGGATGTGGAATATAAAAAACTGATAGGTTACAGCAAAACTCGTTTCCTAGGCTTGTTGTCATCAGTCGACTCAATATTAAGAATTTTTGATGGTCTTAAGGAGTATTTTTTGGGAGATCCCAACACCCCAAATTCTTTGCTACTATTTTTTGAAGATCAAAGGGCCAAGATGTGGCTGCTTTTCCTTCGTGATCAAGTAAGTATCGGTTAATGGGAATGAAATGTGTCAGGCACCAATAACTTTCTTTTTAATTTCTTATGTAGGCATCTATTTTCAACAGAACAGTTAAAGCAGTGGAAAGCGACAATAATAATGCAATGGAAGTTGGGCATGCACTCAATTCTTTTGTCCAATCGCTCGAATCTCGGAAAAAAGAAGCATTTTTGTCCGCTACAGTGCAAAAGGAAATGGAACATATTTCTGCTGTTGACGAAAGAGTGTCAAAAGAAGAGATGCAAGATCTCTCACGTCAATTCTATGGTTCGAATATTAATTTAGATTTATTTTCAATTTAAAAGATTTTATTCATTTCTTTCTTAGAATCATGTATAAAATATATTGAAAAGTGGAAAGAACAATTTGACCATATTATGATTTTTGCCTGGTGTGCGCTTGATCAACCACCGCAATGGAAGTTTATCGAAACCACCGCGAAGTACATCGCAACCAATAACCATTTTGATCTGGAATCATCCGATACTGATTTATTCGATCAGTTCACGTATTTGGAAAGATACGTAACCGAATAGAAAATCCAATCGTGGGAAGAAAATGGTACTGCCACCGATCAACGCTGGGTTGAAATTTTTCAACATTTCGTCAAAAAGAAGGTTCCATTCAACCACATGGTCAGAATCATATCGTATATTCTCTCCTTGCCAGGCACATCAGCCACCGTTGAACGAGTATTTTCTCTGATCAATCAGATTTGGAACGATGAAAAATCACAAATAAAGATCGAAACATTGCGAGATCTTTTATATGTTCGATACAACATTAAAATCACTTGTAAGAAATTTTTTGAATTTTTAAAAATGCAACCTAAAATGTTGAAGGAAATTGCATCAAATGAAAAATACGCAAATTAAATTAAATTGCATTTGCAAGCACCGTTTTTTCATTAATTAAAAACTGTACATAATATAAACTTATAGTAATCTAACTATCATTATAGAAAGAGGCAAGAAAAAAAATTTTTTGTGTACGAAAATGAGATCTTGAAAAGGTGGTCACCCTATTCTTGAATATAACTGAGCAATGTCAAAATTTAGTGAAAACAGCCCAGACCTTTACTGCCCCCACTATACCCTAATGATTTCCGACTTCTCACCTGTAATTGAAGTGTTTAGGTTAGTCTAAATGTGATGTGAATGATATTTTAATAAATTTGAGTGAACAAGCTATGGTTTAGGGCTGAAGATGAATGGAAATGGTTCAGACCTTGGTCCAAATCTCATATCCTTGATATAATAAATTCCGATTCTCTGGTTAGAACGTCAACATCAACTAAACATAAAATATAGTTAGCCGTTTTGGTTGAGCTTATGTCCAATCTTATTTGATGATGATTTTAATACAGGGTAGCTCACGAATCGTGCTACAAAAACAAGTCGTAAATACTTTTTTTCTGTGTGAATAATCGATTTACTCTTTTTTATCTGGCAGGTTATTATTTAAATTTGTTAAATTGAGTGCTTGGGATACCGCCAAAGAAGGTTTGGATGGTGCAGCCGTATCATGCTTTGCAGTCCGTCACTTCCGTCCAAAGGAAAATCAGGCAGGATTTTGGCGATACTCTCCCGAGTAGATGGACCATTATGAGGTTGGTAAAAATGTTTGCCGAATCTGGAAGTATTGCAAGAAGACCGTACCATCGAGATCCGTATGTTCGTGTTCAAGAAACAACCGCGGCTGTTGCATCGTCAATTCAGGCAAATCTAATGTTTCGACTCGCAAGTTCAATTTGAAATTAGTAGACGGTCATTACAACGGATAATTCATGATGACTTAAACCTGTTTTCGTACAAAGTTCAAATCACAAGACGCTTACACCCTCTAAATTTGCCTATTCGCCTGGATTTTGCCTAAAAATCCAGACACTTACGGCTGTGACGGCCCAGTACAGCGAAACTAAACATTTTCAACAAATCAACTGGTATTTTCGGTGATCTAACACTAACAGTGTAAAATTGTAAAGTCAGTGTAAAAATCAATATCAGCCAATTTATAAAAAATAAAATAAGTTTCTTGCTAAAATCATTTATATGTACGAAGTGTGTTCAAAGTAAAAGATGAATTTTAATTTTTCGCGGGCTGTCAACATTCGATTATCGATATTTTGTTTTGGTTATAATCGGACACATATGTTTATCATGTGCTTGTATTAGGAGCCAATTTCGATTAGTAGTTTGTTTTTGACAACAGAAAGAGTTTTGTGTGCTCTTGATTTTTGACTTTTGAAATAAATGGATCAAAGAATATGTATTAAATTTTGCGTTAAAAATGGAATAAAGTGCTCCAAGGCACTTGAAATGTTGACTGTGGCATTCGGTTAGTCTACTTGGTCCAAATATAAGCAGTACAAGCGCTTTACACAAAGCCAAGAAGATGTTGATGCCGATGAGCATCCTGGAGGTGCGACCACGTCAACAAGCGAAGAAAACATCGAAACAATTGTTCTTGAAAATCGTCGTTGCAGAGGATATTGGCATATCAATCGGCTCATGCCATCAATTTTTTAAAGGTTTCGGGCGTGAAACGTGTGGCAGCGAAGTTTGTTCCGAAATTGCTAAATTTTGAGCAAAAGCAATGTCGCATTAGTATCGCTCAAAAACAAAACCGATCATGCCTCAACCACCGTATTCCCCTAATTTGGCTCCCTGTGACTTTTTCCTATTCCCAAAACTAAAGAAACCAATGAAAAGAAAGCAGGGTTACGTCGATGCATAGTCACAGAAAAAATTCTGCACCACTAAGAAAGTTCAGGCTTTTTGATATTTATGCTAGAAACAGTCACAGAGGTAAACCCGTATTCCGAAACAGCTGATAAGAGCTATCTTATAAGAGTGCAATGTAAATGAAGTCACCACCGCTTTTACCGTCCGCTTCTACAGACCGTACCGTAGGATATCCGCAAAAATTGGATTTGTCTCGTAAAAATGAGTCAGCTGATTGCCCGCTTGCAACTCAGGGTTGCCAGTCTCGATATTTTGTGGTAGTTAAAAAATAACCTTGAATATATTTGACAAATTCTTAAACTAACTCAAAATCACAGTCAATACATTCATTTATAATTAGTTAGACTACTTTTAATAATTGGTTTTGAGCTTTTACATTATGGAAAATTATAACTAGAAAACTAAATATGTGCAAAATCATGTATACAAATTGAGCAATGCCAACATTGGTGAAATGGAAGCAAAAGAGAGTAACTGATTTCTACGTTGCCACTTCGGGCATAATGTCATGATGTTTTAATACGGACGATAAGTACGTCGGTGACGGTTTCAAGCATTACATATGCAACAATGGCGGACTCAAATGTATTCATTTCAGTGATTCTGGCAAAAAAAAAATATACTTTGAAAACACTTTCCTATATATTTGAATAATGTTTGTGCTTCACTTTTCGGTGAAAACTAAGCAGTTGTTTTATAATTAAACTATCGGATTTAAATTCATTCTTTTTTATCTTTATCTCGAAAAAAACAGTTTATTGTGAAAGTAATAGTAAAAAAAGTTCTATAATGCCAAATAATTCGTTTTGCAATGTTGTTTGATGATGCATACCGATGATGTACTCGTATAAGTACTGTAGTCAGCCCAAACAGGTGTAAAAATAGTATGACAATAATATAATATGCATAAACTGTGACCAAAAAATGTGCACTTATTTATGTTTTTAAACAAAACTTCGCCTAGTAACGTATTTTTAAACTCATTAAGTACATTTGACACAAAAGCACGCTAACTTTAAATTATTTTATTTAAATATAAAAAATATATCTCTGCTTATATTACCATATATATATTTCCTGTGTATAAACGCTAAACTTTAAATTGACGTCCGGATCAGGTTTTCCTAGTATATTTTTTACAAAATAAATAAATTTAATGCTTTTCATATTTTGTACATACGCTCCTGTGCGTAGAAAATAATTTCCTGAACTAAAGACTCTCGCGACTCACACGAACGAAATTTAGCGAAACCACGAAAGAGCGTTAAATATTTTGAACGCACTTAAGACAAAAATTCTACATAATACATAACATAATAACAGAAAATAAAATCTCGGCGCAGTTCGACTGTGCATTTAGAACAGAAACTGTTGGCTTATCGTTGGGTCGTTTATGAAAGCGTCCGAAGCTACAATTCCTGCGGTTGTGTGAATTTCATTTTTATACATATGTATGATGAGCCAAAAAAAAAAAAACAACTATATAATCGAATTTATGGATAAATTGAACTTCAATATAGAGAAAACAAATCAGTCGTATATTTTCAATTCACAAAAAATTCTGACTATACATATATATTACTCAAAAAGCTATTAGTCGTTATAAATTCCAAATGTGTTGGCGTATTTTTAGGGCAAAACTGCATAATCGAAAGCCTAAGCATGCATTCATGTTCTTTAATTTAGAAAATGATTATACTTAAAGTAGCCATACAAACAATAATTTTAATATTTGTGTATATTTATATATTATATTTTAAAACCTTTGAACAACTGTTTGTTAGTTATTACTGCTTGTGCATATTTTTTCAAACATTTGCCACTGTATGAGTATTTGTGACTTTTAATTACCGTAATACTGCAAGCCTAAAGAGCTTATTTTAAGTAACTTAGTTTATCGTTAATTGTTTTGTGTCAGCAAAAAATAACACAGCTGGTATACAAAAGAATATGCAAATTTTTCAATAAACTTATTTCGATAAATAATTTCCGGGAAGAGATGTCAAGCATAGTGTACGAAATGAAGAAAAATGTAAATATGTATATTGTGTACATTGTTTTAGACTTTTTTAATTATGTGAAACTTATAAATAGAATTAAGCGAAGGAGGGAAAGCTATATTGTTGATTAATGTCAAAAGCGTATACAAAAAGGGTATCAAATGGTAAATGCCAATTTTTTTTGTTTTACATATGTATGTGCTATCACTGATTTATCCAAAAAAACATGATATAAAACGATTGAACGCCTGAAATTAGGCTATCAATTACAAAGTGCCAAATACAACATACATATGTACGAAAGATATACATACATACGCAATATTGATAAGTACATAGGTTTGATTGGGTATTAAAATAAGCCGATTATTGATATGCCTGTAAGAAGTCAGTTTATTGAACTTTACATGACATTCGTATCTACATATGTAGGTATGGAATGTCATTATTTCCGCAAAATGTGTCGTGTTAGTGCAGTTATTTGCGTTGGTGTGGTGAGTACATGTTACTATATGTATGATTATATGTCGCCTGTGTTTCCCTGTTTGAACTAATTAATTATTTTACTTTTATTATTGTTGGTTTTTGTTTAAATATTATTTAATTATTTTAAATTCGTGTCTCTGTTTGTAGCTGCTTTTGTTGTTGGTGTATTTGGTGGGTCACGTCGGAAAAGCCGTTGGACCAGCGTTGTGTCGATTGGCCGTTGCTTGCACCACCAACCGTCCCGTGGCCCAAAAAATTTAAACGCTGCTGCTGCTGCGGCTCTTCGTCGATGTAGGATATATCAGATATTAGGGCGGCTCCCGTCGTCGACCCATCGATGCCGTTGTCAGGCTGAGTGTTAATTTTCGCTAGTGGCGACTGCTGTTGTGCGCTGTACCTACGTTGCTGTTGAGCATAATTAGGATTAAGCAGGTTAGAATTGTAAAGCGGGTAGCCGGGTATTGTGCCTCGTGGACTGCGCAAGCTATGCAGACTGTGCATCGAACGGCGTTCGTTCAAATCTTCCAATGTTGAGCGGAATGCACGAATAACGCGCAACTGAAACAAACAAAATTAGACAACAAAGAAACAAACGAACGAACGAACACACACCGAAAAAAAGGAGAAAAGAACAAAAAACGGAAACAAAAGTAATAAAACGAAAAAGAGAACACATATAACAAATTAATTAATCATTTGGTTTACATCGGTAAGCAAAATAAAATATGCAAAAGCAAAAGCATCAAAACGTATTTCAAAAACAGTAAAAATAAAACTCGATAAACCATAATCATAATTATATGAACTATTTATTAAGTACGCATCATCACTTATGTATGTATGTAGATATATATGTATATATATATAATTGTGTAAGACTTTTATATAGTTTATACATATTTTCGCATACATACATACATATGTACTCATAAAGCATATTGCATACATATACATACATACATTTATCTATACGAACATATCAATGTGTATTCAAATGTAAGTCCAAGCGTTTATATTATATAACCATAGCGTTTAATATATATAAGTACGTATGTTTATGTACATGTATTTTTGTTTTTTAGATAGGCTATTTCAGCAAAATAATTAGTAAATTATGAAGGTAAATACTACTTAGAGTATGCGAGTAAAATCTCTATTCAATAAATTACAACTAAAATGAAATGAAAGTAAACATACTACAAGTATATTGAAACAATAACTAAATTAACAACTTTTCATAATTATACGATAAAGTCTGAAAAACTTATTGAAAAAATTCCAGAATTATTCAAGGAACGATAAGTCTTCGAAAACTTTAGTAGTAGTATTTAAAATTGTACGCTACTATACTAAGTGTTCCTTACATACATACATATGTTAGTTGATGAGTGGAGCGAGAGTGGATAAAAAGCAAATGCTTGAATGAAATGTGGAAAATCTTAGGAAACTACATCCAGGACTGCAAATAATGCAGTCTATTAAGTCACCATTTAAATTGAGTTTCCTTATATTTGGTTATCCAGAAAATCTTAATTAAAAATAGTTTTCAAGTTTCTAAGTCGTAGAATTGAAAAAACTAAATCCTACAAATCGGATTAAAAACAAGAAAAACATTAACTTCGGCTACACCAAAGGTTCACAGGTGCATTTTTTATAGCATAACAGGGTATAAAAATATCTTTAATTTTATCGGTCTGTTTGACAGCCAAACGCTATTGTTGCCTTGAACAATAATCTATGCTAAATTTCGTGAAGATATCCCATCAAACATTTCAATCGAAGTGTCCTTCTGGGTGTAACAAACTTTGTGGCAAACATAATATACCCTCTTCAGAATAAAAAAACAACGAAAATTTTAATCATAAATACCGAATTGGAAAATAAAAAAATGTTGATCTCACGTTAATTATTAAAAAATTATATTGTTAAATTATTTCCTTGGTTTTTATTCTACGATTTTGATTATATTTTGAAAAGGAAAGTTTATTTTTAATATGTATAAACATGGTTTAATTTTGTTCGAAACATTAAAAACTTTCCTTTTTATCGCTTTTCAATCCAGCTTTTGATATGAAAGATAATATTTTATTTGTTACTCCAATATTTAAATTAAAAATTTGTCAACAATTTTTAATTCTGATTTTGGGATTAAAAATACATTTCCAATTTTTAATTCCGTTTTTCAGTATAGAAAATCAAAAATTCGCAACCCACATCTAACTCTACTAATTAACTACATCTAGCTTTAAATTATTTTCTCTTATTATTGTTTTTCATTCGTAAACCCAAAAAACAAAGATGAAGTCGAGGATATGTAAGGAGTTTTTAATGCATGTGACACCTTATCAATTATTACCTCCTCACGATAATATATTTATTTTTTATTTTTGTACTTCAATTTGACTGTTACAAAGAAAAGACCCACGACAGTCGGTTCTAAGTACGCGGAACGGACCTGGATTTTTATCCAGCCAAGGACTATCAATTCGGCACCATTCCGCGAAATTACTTCAGTAATGTTTTCTGCCGCTACAAAAACAACAACAGTGATTCAAGTTTCCGCAAACATACAAGAGAGAATCACGAACTGACGGTTTAAGAGATCTTTCCCATAAAGCGATTTGCAGTGGCAACATTAACTTGCACAGGGCATAAAACGAAGTTTATAGTAAGAAAAGAAGAATCTTACGATTGTTGCTGATAATATTCTAAACAAAATCAAAAATACATATAATTAAGTTACAAATTATAGGAACCAAAAATCGGTATAATTAACGGAATGGCAATAATTAAACAACTCACACAATTTTCCTCGGATGTATACTAAATTTATCTGTACATACAAGCAAAGGGATACAAAGATTGTGATCAGGTTGTGTTTGTAATATGTGTATGTAACTTTTCTTACAGATGCAGTAAGCGAATTTGGTTGTGAAATCTATTTTTTAAATAAAAAAAACAAACACAATAACAAATTGGGCCGATGAATTATCTGTAACTGGAGTTGCTGCACACAAAAATGGGAAAATCAACTATTGTACGCCACCAACATTGTCACATATGTATTGTATGTACATTGGCAATATTATATACATATTATTATATATATATCATACATACAATTGGCTTAACAGTAACAAGTATTTGCATGATGTGAACACCTACTTATATATTGGCTTTCATAGAATTTAAGGGATTACCGAATGTGTAAAAGAAAGTTAGAACTCTTAACACAAGGTGGGCCCAAAATTAATAGAACGCGTTGCGTGCTTCTAAAAATTGTTTTATAACAGCACTCTTACATTTGATCATCGAAATAAGTATTAAAAAAACAATATGAAAAATATTGTGGTTGTAAGCATTAAAATGAATAATGGATTACAAAAGCTACAAACATGTATACACAAGCTGTGCAGTCAAAACAAAAATAACATCATAGACCTAATATATATATATATAGGTATAGTAGATGTGCAGTGCCTTAAAATCGCTGTATTCGCGCACGGTAAAGAGATATCAACAAATGCACCAGAAGGTAACATTAGCAAGAAAATTACAAATTTGAAGTACAGCTGATGTTTGAGAGAAATTAAATAGAAAGTGAAGGAAATATGATGTGTGATTTTTATTAACTACTACAGAAAACTGAAATAAAATTATTTAACGCTTGCGTATTTATTATAATATTCTATTATATATATTATTACAATACATATTCTTTTTGAATTTTTAAAATCAATATTTTTCTTTTCAATTCAATTGCAAACAGCTGTTTTAGCAGTAGTTTAAAAATGGTTTATAATCTTAACAAAAGTAACTGTAACTTTACGCTCCCAATTCGCACACTATTGTTGCATATATGTGTATGCCTGAAGCAATTCTTGTTAATATATTATATGATAGTTAATACCTCATAACATTAGTTCGGTTGTTGCTGACGGTTGTTTTTTTGGCACACTACAGATTACCCTTTACATATATGTAAGTGTTTATATATAAATATATATATGTGTATATATGTATATATATATATATATGTAGGCATATATATGTATATATATATATATATGTAGGCATATATATGTATATATATATATATATATGTAGGCATATATGCTCACATATAGTATGTCACAGTTAAGTACAGGGATTTCGCATAAGCATACAGGCAACAAAACTATAAAGTAAACTTGCAAAAAATTTTACCTAAAGTATAGTTAGAACGAAAGAATTAAAAGCATAACACTTTTCGAAACTTTTTTTTGCTTTAATTCCACTAAAAAACTACGGTCAAATTAAAAACAAAACTCAACTTGAAAATAGAAAAGTTAAACGGTACTTACCTTCATTTATGGTTTTGTGGTATTGTAATATTATCTAATACGACATATTGACATATGTAAATTTTGTAAAATGCTGTTTCTAAACATTTTTTATACTTTCCCTTACGTTTTTAATACGCGATCGGAAACATCTATGTAATAATATTTTATACAAAGGAAACAAAGGAAAGACTGCCGACATAAAATCGGAGACGTTTTGCTTTGCTTCAGTTTGCTAACTCGCACTAGACATTTTGTTGTAACAATTATATAAGTAATTGTGTTGTAGTATCGTGCCGCTGACGTTCATATTCGTGAAGAGAAAATGCTGCACATGGTGAGCATATTCAAAAATGTACATACCAGGAAGGTCGTTGTGTATAAAGAATTATTGCGGCATGCCAGTGAACATAGTATATTTGAGCAGAAGAAGAAGTTTTAAGGATAGGAAGGAGTAGAAACTAATATGACAAGAATAATTCGAGACAACTTTGAATACACACAATCAATCATTACCATGGCAGCAACTAAGAGTGCAAAAATGCTAAGTACAATTTCCAAATAAAAATAAAAAAATATTGTAAAGCAGCAAGAGAATTTTTCTTTTTTCGAATAATGTCCGCATTTCATCACTAAAATACCAGTTAATATTTATAATAATCTGCATATGAAAACAACAATAAAGTTGTCTCGTTGTATCTATTACAATGTAGTATGTGAATATCATATTATGGTATCAAAACTTATAAATCTGTCTACACTTACTAGGCGTAAGGAAATGCTTGGCTTAATATTCTTAGTAAAAATCCTGAATGGGCAGGAGGAGGGTTATCGTTAGATTATTATTATTATTATTTTAATATTCTAGGATTTCTGAAAACTGTGTGTTGTAACCATTGTATAAACCTACAACCAGAGATAAATAGATGCCCAACTCATCTCTCACTGGAAATCACAGCGAAATTGCTAAACGTCAAAACCTACTGAACTCAGCTAACTGTTTAGCAATTGGAAAAAGAGGGACGGCCAGATGGAAATCCTACCAAAAAAATATGTGTGAACAGAGAGATTAAGAAGTATTGAAAGTTCAAAAATCAGTTGTTTTAATATATTACAAAAAAGGGGTTGAATAGTTTCTAGATATGTTTAACGGATACGTGTATAATAATATTTAATCTTAATAAATGTTGGGTATTTTAATTTAAATGCCCAAAAATTATTATTTTGTCCGCTCTG